TATACTCTAATATACATTTCTGAATTCACTGTAACTTGCAAAGCTGTCTTTTCCCTTTGGGAACTGTAATTGTATTGTGTTTTGAAGAACAATTGTTCTTCTGTTACTGTATTCTGAGCTCAACTCTACCTTTCCATCCATCTCTTATTAAATGTGAAAAATGTGTTCCTGTAGATGGAATTGTAGTGCTATGCACATTTCTCTGGTATTGTATTTTACCTGGTATGTGTATTTATCTTAAGGACTAATCAATAAAAAGTATTTAAAATTGCTCACAATATGTGCACGACGATGTTACTTTTGATATAACTGGATTGTGGTAAAAGCCAGATTTATTTATTTTTATTTATTTATCAATTGAAGGCATTTAGTGCATTATAATTGTCCCCAGTTTTCTCTACAAAATACTACATGTCCAAAAGTATGTGGACACCTGTATTCCACGCTCGTGTTTAAGAATTTTTTTTGTAAAAAGCTGTATATTGGAATATGGATGAAAGAATGTCAATGTATGCTGTAGTATCAAGATTTATCTTCGCTGAAATGGCTGGAATAACCCGTTAATTAGAAGTGGGCGTCTGTGCACATACTTCCAGTAATTTAGTGTATAATATAAGCTACCCATCATATTCCTATCATAATCGGTCTGTGTCCGGTGCTCGGAAGAATTCAGCGCAGAACACTAGCGACATCTAGTGATGTACCTCTACACTCAAACAAATGCTACTGTCTGTCTTATGAAATTCGAACAGTTTGCGGAAAATATAAGCAAAGCTCGACTCAGTTGTTAACCCTGTAAAGCCATAATGCTTAGTTTTATGATCAAAGCTCTGTAGTTATAATGGTGGGGGGGCTAAACGTTCCTCAAAAGCCTGATGTATCGTACATTTTAACATGATTTTTCTAAAACACAGTGTATGCAGTCATTCTTGAGACATGGGACAAAACAGGTCCAGCAAGGGTAACTGCTAATTAGGTTTAAAAATAAAAATATTTTTCAATTTTAAATGTCATGAGGGATTAATAATTGAATGTATTTAACACAATTATCACCTTCAATTTAATTTTCTCATTATTATACCAAATCTGTGTTTCTTAATGTCCTCTCACTACAACTAAAACAGTGTGTCCACAGAGAAGGGTTCAATCATTCATATGCAATAAAATGGATAAAAAAACATTTTAATGATGAAAAAGAGCTTGTTTTATCAAAAGCAACACTTAATAATATCTCCTATCAAAGCAAGGTTGTTTTAATGACACATGCATGTTTCATAAGATTTTAAAGTTGCGTCCCCACTTTTTGTCAACACCGTCAGACATTCAATAAAATGTAATAAAATCAGGGAATATCAGGGGCAGCTGTCACTCTAAAGGACCCCCTTGCCACAGTTCACCTCTGCAGAGTACATACAGTGTCAGACAGGCTCTGCTAAGTTTTATAGTTTTAGAATATTTTAAATCCTAATGTTAATATTTCCTTTGTCACAGCCATGATATGTCAACACCATCTTCCAATTTCTGAGGAAATTATTTGAAATATTTAGATAATTGTATTTTCCTGAAGCAGGTCCCATTAGCATCTAGCATCAACAGAAAAAATAAAATGGCTACTACATGAACTCCATTGGTTTTGTGAAAGAAATGCCAAATTT